AAGCCAATTCCTGTGCCCTGCATTCTGACTTTCCATCGAAGTCTGGAACCTAGGAATTTAGGTAAGCCTCTCTCTAGCCGGCTGCCAGGCAGCCCTTGAAGGTAGAGATGAGAGGAGTCAGCATTTCCAGGCAAGCGATTGGTTGCAACTAAGTGGCAGAAACACTTCGGTCAAGCACAGCCAGCTGCAGCGGTGCTTACGGTTGAGTAGGCAGCTCCTGAGTTTAGGAGAGGAGAAGACGGGATTGAAGGAATCTGAGGAGATACTGAGGATGTGTCCAATACAGTAATAAAACCTACAGATACTCAGTACTTATAACAATTGCTATTTTCTAACTGTAAGTTAAAGAAGTTTAAAACAAGGAAGTAATGATAAGACAATACACATTTCAATATGGAGATACTGGAGTAGAAAAACACTAGAAGCATCATGAACGAAGTAGCTATGTCAAGAGTTTGTTTTTTCATTGCCAGAAGTGTGTGCTCTTGCCAGAGAGAGAGGAGGAGAGAGCGCCCCCATGGGGCATGGTCACCCCACAATGCCTTCTCCATTTTCCCATCTTGTCAGGATTTGGGGTATACATGCACACATCTTGGCATGTTTCTCAACTCATCGGGGCTGGGGTTTGAAATGCAGTTGGCCATGTGAGATCCAGCTCCCTTAATCACTAAGTCTCGGCCTGGCCCACGCCAGGTGTTTTGGATGGCTCACTGAGGAAAGAGACAAATGAAGTACAGCTGCTCCTTGAGTCACACTGGAGTTACATCCTGATAAACCATAGTAAGTTGAAAATGCATTTAATACACCTAGATTACCAAACATCATAGCTTAGCCTAGCCTACCTTAAATATATTCAGAACCAGCATACGGTGTAGCAGTTACACAGCTGGACTCCCCCATGGCTGACACAGTTCAAGTCCCAGACCCAGTGACTTGAAACTCATGCCAGGCATATGTGTGCGTCCTCCCAAGATCCTGGGAGGAGAATGAAGGGATTGCAGCATGGCCATCTTCCCTGGGGGGAGGGAGGGATGATTTCTCACTTTCCTTCTCACTGTCTCTCCCTCTTTCTTTCTCCCTGGTGAGCACACGGCTTTAAGGCAAAAACTTCCACAAAAATTTTTTTAAAAAGTTAGGAACACTTACATTAACCTACAGTTGGGCAAAATCATCTAATAAAAAGCTTATTTTAAAATAAAATGTTCTGTATCTCATATAATTGAAAATTACACTAAAAGTGAAAAACAGAATGGTTATATGTGTACTACGATGATGTATGATCTCTACTGAATGTGTCACTTTCCCACCATTTGTTTCTTTTTTTTAGAGAGATTTTTTGCTATAGGGCGCATGCACTCGCCAGACAGACAGAGACGGAGAGACAGAAAGCGAGAAATAACCTCCCAGGGGGGATGGCCACACCACAATCCCTTCTTCTCCGTCTCCTCTCGGGGTGTTGGACACGCATGCACACGCGCCCGGTGTGAGCATTAAGCCACTGGGTCCGGGACGCGAACCGCTGTCGACTACATGGGAGTCCAGCAACACAGTCATTATGCTAACTGCTGGTCCCACTTTCTCACCATTTGTAAAGTCAAATAATCTTAGATGGAGCCCTTGTAAACCGAGGTCCACCAATAGTCAAATGATTGACCTTTACCTAGATTCACCATGAATGAAATGACTCTAAGTCAGGTGATTTGCATTGGTAACTCAAATAACAAGTATATGTTTGCTACTGGTGACCTTATAAAATACTAACAACTTTTGGTAATCCTCTGAGCAAAATAAAAACACAGTCTTTCTTCCATATACTTGACAGTTGCCAATCTAGAGAATTCAGAATATATTGTATCAGCCAAAACACTTTCATATATAAAATGTAGTAAAGTCTAGACTCAGATAATAACAAATGATTTTTTCACCTACATCAATAACTGAGAGGACACAAAAATTACATGGCCAATGGTTCAACTTGATATAGGGCTATTGTCAGTGGGTTATCAATTCTGGCTCTCATTCATTGACTACTAAGAGTCCTGCCTGCCCCTATTCATTGTGACAACCCAGTGACACTACCACAGATTTCCAAAACACCCCCAGTAGGTTGCAGGAAGGGGACAGTGGGACTCTTCTTGAGAACTGCTAAAACAACATAAATAATAAGGAGATGTGCATCTTGCAGACATTTTGTCCACATTAGCACTTACAAATTGACCATTCTATATAAAAGTTGCAGGGTATTCAAACATATCTGTGTATCTGATCATATGAACTTTTTCAGCTTCATGTTACATTGAAAAGATGATCCTTACACATTAGCCTTTGTGCACCCATACAGTTATATCTCTGGAATAAATTCCTACAAACTGAAAGGTAGATATATTTTATATTTTTAAAGATATTGTCAGATTACCTTCCAAGTCATTGCCTACTGATAGCTGTATAAACACCTGAAGCATCACTTTCTCTAAGTATCATAGACTGTATTAATCTTGATTAGCTGATTCCTTAAAGATGAAAGGAGAAATTTTTGAGAATGCTAAAGGGCATGCATATGCTCCAAAAACAGAGACAGAGGAGGGATAGAGAACAAAGCATCCCCTATGGGGAAGTGTTACTCTGAAATCTGTTCTTCTCATCTTTTCCTCTTTGTAGGATTTTGGGCACACGTGCATGTTTCTTAAGTCACAGGGTCTTGGACTCCATCCACGCAGTCATCCATGTGGGATCTGGCTACCTTAACCACCTGGCCAGAAAGATGGCCCAAAAAGAAAAGTCTTTAAAAACCTCTGTATGTTCTATTTAAAATCATTTTTGGATCATCATTCATTATTTTGTAGATCCCAGCCTTGACTTGTCTTTTCATATGTATGTGGATGCATGTCTTTTCAGTGTCTCAAGGGTAGAACCAGGGTTGTGACTGGAGGTAGAGCACATAGCAATTTTGGCTGTAATTAGGTGAACACTTTCCAACACCTCCAGTCATCTAGCAATGAAATGGCCTGCCTGGAGAGAGAAGGAGGCTTCCCTTCCACAAGTACTGGAATTTTCCATTTTAGGCTGGATGAACAACTTCAAGAGATGTTCAGGAAGACATTCCTGAATTTAATGGAATATTATACATGACCAAGGTTTAACAGTAGTATCTAGACCAGGGCATATGTGCAAGAGATGACTTTAAGTAGCTCAAACCAATCCTAATACATCAGAAAATTTGAGTATTTGGAGCTTGTGTACAGGGGTCAAATGCCATGAAAACTTTGTTTAAAATGAGAGCCCTAGGGCCAGCAGGTGATGTAGTGGCCTAGGTGCTGAACCCTACGTGACCTACTGTGCAGTTAGAGTCTTGGACCCAATGGCTTGAACACATAAGCCCTAGAGCAAAAAAATACAAATGAACAAATAAGAGCCCTAAATTTTAGGTAAAGACCTATACTGAAACTATCCTTCTTAATAATTTGGGGGCAATACTAATATTTTAGAGACCTGTCAAAGTTTGTCACAATGGGATCAAATCTGGTTTTTTGTTTGTTTGTTCTTTTGCCATTTTCCATATGTTCGCCAGAGAGAGAGGGAGAGAAAGAGAGAGAGACAGAGAGAGGGAAAGTGAGAAATCATCCCCCCCCCCAAGGAGGGAAGGCCATGCTGCAAATCCCTTCTTCATTCTCCTCTTGTGATTTTGGGCACACACACACACACACACACACACACACACACCTGGTATGATTTTCAAGCCACTGCGTCAGGGACTTGACTTATTTTTGGCCATGTGGGAGTCAGTGCCTTAACCACCATACCACCTGCTGATACCAAACATGTATATTTTTAACAAATTTTTTTTAAAAAAAAAGTCAGTGCACACACACACACACAATTGCTGATTACTCACTAGTATAATACCTCCAAGCCAGTCCTGGTGGAAGAGAAAAGCAAGATTTGTCTCCACGCTCCCATAGTCCTCTGTCTGAAACCATCATCCACTCCATCCATATTATATATTTGAAATAAAATACAAACTTTTGCACTGGAAGTCAGAGGTAAATACTTACGTAATCCATACATACATGTACATGATATCCATGGTATTGTAAACATACAAGCATTTTAGAAAAAATCAGCCTTGTCTACTCCAATCACAAGATGGCATATCTAATATTTGTAAAATAGGAACCAGAAAAACCTTGCCCTTTAATTTTAGGAGAATCCTCTGACCATTAAAACCATTCCCAAATTCAACCTCGTGGGGCCAACAAGCTTTGGCAGAAAGGGACATGTCTTTTTCAAAACTTTACTTCTACCTGTTGATGGTATTAAGTTAATGGCCTTGCCTAGGTACTTTGTAATGGCTTTATGTTTTTTTTTCTCATACTTCGAGTCAGAAAACGAATCAGTACCTACTTTTCTGTGGCCCCCTTTAGGGGCCTGTGAGATGGTCTAAAAAGATGTCACAACAAAGAACTTGCTCAGCCACGCTGACGTTTTTCCAGGAACAGACTGTGCTTTCGTTCCTTTGCATTGGTTTTCATTTAGGGACAAACACTGTGAATTTGATCATTGATGGAATTGAAGACAGAGTGAACTGGACAAATACAAATGGCCCAAAATGACTCTGTTGATTCACAGACTGTGCCCAGCCACGAGCCAGACTTACAAGTCTGTGTCATACACACACTAACACAGGTCAAGAGAAAATGAAAATGTACAGTGTGAAATCACTGTGACGTGCTGCATTCAAAAAAAGAAAAAAAATGAGTATTTGAAACTAATTCATCATAGCCAGTTTGTTATGATCCACTTTAGAGGAAAAAATGATTCATATACACATGTCTCTTCGTAAAAGTCTCTATTTCTTGATAATAGCATCTTTTACGTCAGAAAATGCATTCGTTTTATTCAAATAGATTTGTCCTAAAATATAAATATTTAAATTAAATTTTTATAAATGTAGAGAATGTAGTTTCTGTTGACCCCCACACAAATATTAATCAGTCCAAAACTTGTGATGAAGAAATATTTGTAATTATGATCATTTTAATTTGTCTATAAATATATAATAGGATCTCTGCAATTTATGAGTAATTAATCCATACTTCATATAGTACCAAGCACCGTAGATTACATATTTTTGAATTAAACTATTGGCATTAATATATGTATTTTAATATGTTATTTACAATACACAAGTATAGTTCTCTTGTATAACAACATTCCAGTGATTTGGAAAATACATAGCGAAAGAGTGCAATATAATTTACAAATGCATCAAAGCTTTCCTACAGTATTCAAGCTGGGACTTCACTCTTTAGCATTTTAAAATAGGAAACAAACAAAAAGTCAGTATCCTAAAGCTGTGTTTTCTAAAGCATTAAATAAAAAACAACAAACAAACAAAAAAACCCACTAGCTTCACAAGTTCTGTAGTAAGTGTAAGGAATGGCAGGCCAGATCTTCCCTTTGAAGAATCACAATGAACATTAAAGGCTTTGAGGAGGCCAACAATCATTAAATCTGCTTAACAATTTTTAGCTCAGTATTTAACAAAGAAGAGTTTTTATTACCAAACCTCTTCCTGCCCCTCTACCCTCCCTAAAACAAAAATATTACTTGGAGCACTGTCCCATGGAACTAGTGTTATATAATATATACTTTGGGGAAACGTTAATTTAAAATAAAATTTTGCAACACAACAAACATAAGTGTAGGTGAGCAAAAGCACATTCCTTTAAAATAGTTTTACCTTGTAAAGCTGCTTGCATAGGTATTTACTAAAATATGAGTTTTTAAAAAAAACAGATCTAAAGCAGAACATTTGTCTACATAAATCAAAGGGCAAAGGAGGGTGAGAAGTGCTTATAGAAATTCTAAAGCTAATTCTCAAGGTTTAATAAAAGTGACTCCAAAAATCAAATAATGGATATTTTTGGTGAACTAGTTTTAAAAAATAAAAGCGATAGCATTAAATCAATAATGTGCAATATACTGTCTGAAAATAGTCTTATAGAAAAATATCTGGTCATTATATTATTTCCCTGGAATTCTGAAAGAGCTGCAGGTGCTATCAATAGATTCGATTATAGCACTGGGTCCATATGTAAAACCCAGCTTCGTCCAGAATTAAATGAGGCTGCTCTATTACTTGCTTGAAAATGCATGCATACAAGCACAGGCAGAAACAAGGGTCAATAAATTGCTCAGTACTTCTACAGAAAACCATGAGATGGGGAGAATTAGTTAACCCCAACCACATGAGCTGTTTTACATACACTGTATATAAATCAGATGGCAATCTTAAACCAAAAAAAGAAAAAGATATAATTTGATTTCTTTAAATAAACCTATCAGTCTTGACTATTAGAGCAGACCTTGGTGTGAGTGTAGTCCCGGAATTAATCATCTTTTGTAAATACAACTCTTCAGCAAAGCTCTGCAATTTAAGCAGCCTACTTTGGCTCAGATTCTGCCAGCTTACAGCTCAGATCAGTATCTGATACTTTATTTAATTTCTGCTCAGCATATGCTAATAAGAACACTTCGGAATCATTCTACACCATGGAAAGAAAATTCCATTTAAAAAAGTAACAGCTGCTTCATACTTAAATAAAAGGTAGATTTCCATCTAAGTATTTTTTCTTTCACTATCAGTGAAAGTGAACTCAACCACAATTAGGAAATACATCACCATAAAACCAGGGATCACTGTTACTGGTGGTTGGGGAGTTATGGGGTGGGGGGATGGGGAGTGTAGTGAAAATGTCCCTTTCTCATCTATTCAGCCCTTGTTTACTCGGGTGAACCAGTTCCCTTGAAACTGGTATGATTAAGATCTGCACATGCTGTTCTAATGGTCAGGTCCTTGGCTGTCACTTAAAAAGCTATGCTTGTGTATTTCTAAGTGCCCTCACCTCTTAACCTTGTACTGTTCTAAAATGTTTTATTTTGATATCCCTCGTGGGATTCTCCTTGTAGTTGCTTGAACTGACAGAGGAGTCTAGAACAGCGACATGTGACTCCTGAGATCTAAAGCTGACTGCAACATGCTACCATTGTGCCCTGCTCACTACAGATGGTGTCCGATGTCACTCTCTCTGGTGGCATCACAACCCTCCTTTTCTCAATGGCACGTTGCCCCTCAGTTCAGGCCACCAAGCCCAGTCTTGTAATCTTAGCTGACAGGAAGGAATGAATGATGAAAACAATTGGCTTAGGGCAGGAATGAAGGTCCAGTTGCTGAAATTTAAAAAGAAGAGAGCATGAGAGATTTTAAATTAATGCTTGATACAGAACAGTGATTTACACATCAAACGAATCTATATCCACTTCTTGCTTTTAAGTGGGAACTGGAGCAATTATGTTTTAAAACCATGCCCCCTCCCCCGCAACGAGATAAAGAAATAACTCTTTGAATTTATTCCTTATATCTCACATATCTTCATTCCAAAATAGGTTGTGTGAAATGTATATATGCCAATACCATAAATACTGGTGTCTCCCTTCTTTACTGGCTATACCATTCATTGCTGGTACCATCACACAATGTGTATGCTGGATTGAATACAGTGTGAAGCAGTATTAAATTTCACATGTGAAGATTACATTTGAGTCCTGGTTCTGTTGCTATTGTTTTTCTAAAATTTTTCCTGTGATTTTTTTAAAAATTTATTTTATACATTCAATCACTATACATCACTTAGCTTGTGAAATGAATTTACCCATCATGGATATACCTCACACAGTACAGTTGAGGATACTAGACACATTATCACCCACAGACAACAGTCCATTTCTGTGTCCCATAAATGTCTTGCCTGTTTTTCTCCTTAATTTCTTTTCTCACACTTTCCCCTTCCCCTCACCCTCTTACCACCCTGTCTCCATCTGTTACTGTTTAGATGTATGATCTTGGACAAGCCACTTAAGATTCTTCTCAGTTCTGCTAACTCCCAGGATACTTAGAGCATTCAGTGAGACACTGTATGTGAAATGTCCCTATAAACTGCAAGACACAGCACCTGTATGAAGCAGCTGTGTTCTCACTGTCTTTGTGAGCATACATGTCACAGCTCTGTGAAGGCACCAGCTAAAGTCTCATACTTCTCAGTGTGAACTCAGCACATATGAGGCACATGGTCATGGCATGAGAGTTCAAATTTGAATTTTATCATCCAAACTTATTTAGGAAAATTGGAGGAAGTGTTCCCAATTTTCTCTGCTGCCCCCGATTTTGTTCTGATGGACACTGCTGGGGAACAAGAACAACCTGAGCATATAAACATACCACCAAAGTTAAGGTTGTTCTCAGGATAAGCCTGGTACTGTGTTAAATATTTCCTACACACTATCATTTAATTTTCTCTCACAAAATCCTTACAAAGTGGCTGTGGTTATTAACTCTATTTGTATTTTGGGGAAACTAGGATTTTGAGAAGTTGTAAACTTAATTTTTTTTTTTTTTTAAAGATTTTTTGCTATAGAATGTGTGTTCTTGCTGGAGAGACAAGAGACAGAAAGTAAGAAATCACCCCTCCCACACACACACCTCAGGGGAGATAGCCATGCTGCAATCCCTTCTCTTCCATTCTCTTCTTGGGATTTTGGGCGTACATGCACACAAACCTGTGAGTTTTAAGCCACCAGGTTTGAGACTCAAATTGCAGTAGGCTACACGGGAGTCCAGTGACGTAATCTCCAGTTTGGAGAGGTTATAAACTTTCTAAAATCACAGCTCTTAGAGTAATTGGAAAGTAGGGACTCAGACTCAAGTCTCTCTCATGCCAGGGTCAGTACTTCACCACCATTCTGTCTCCCCAACACAGGGTGCAACTTTTGGAAGTCACTTTAAACATTATCTGCTTTAGTCCCTGTGTTTTATAGATGGGGTGATTTAGATCCAAAGAAATAAAAGGACTTTCCGAAGACAGTTGGTGAGTTAGTTGTAAACTCAGAAAAATAACCTGGGTCTTTCTTGACTCTCCATTAATTGCATTTTCTACAGCTCATCTCTACTTCATTCCCCTGCCCAGGGAAGGACCATTGCCACCCCCAGGAATAGCTTAACTAGACATTGGGGGGCTGTGTCCAAACTTGAGCTTACCAACCTAATGTGCTGGCAGTACCAAATCAGTCCTTCCTAAATCTTCCAAGCCAGGGCATAATTACAGGCAGAAAGGCTGAAATTTAGATATAAGTGATTTTCCTCATGGGCAAAAATAGCCTTGAATTTTTAAACCAAGGATAAAGCAGGAGGCTGATTCTTGTTCTTTTCTACTTTGCTAGAGAGTAGTAACCTTTTGGAAAAAGTACATGGGTGGGTGATTGATAGAGCAACAACTAGAATATTCTTAGTGAAACGGAGATTTAGATCACTACTTTATTTTCAAAATGATGCTTCAGGCTGAACTTGTTAAAACACACAAGCAAACAAACAAAAAATCTAATAGAATTCTGCAGGTCCATTTTGATTGTCAGAAAAATGGCTGGAAATAGTCCTCAGAAAGTGAGTGTGGATCAACTGTCAGCTTCAGGGAATGGACTTCATCCTCACTACCCATTGCATGCATGGTAAGAAATTTGCTTTACTTCAGTTCAAGTCCTCGTCCTGGCAGCTTCCTTTCCCACTTTGCTCTTTCTTTCTGTCTCTCTCTGGTCAAGTTAAAAAATAATAACAATAAATAAAATAATTCTTTTAAAAGAAAAAAGAGATTGCTTCTGTGTTGGAGACAGCAGCATGACCCAATCTAGAACCATAGTGAGCAACTTTGAGGTAAAAGAGCCTACACTGTGTTGAGCATGGCCCCTTCCTGGCCCCTTCTTTGAATCTCTCCTGCTGGGTAACCCCCAGTGGTTTCCAAAAAATTACCAAAATGCTGCTTGAGAAATATCTGAAATAGCTGAAGAGATAGGAGTGGACAGAAAAGGGATATATAGAAAGTCAGTGGCTACATTGCAATTACCAGATTGTGCAAACAGATCTATCTCTGTATTTTGCATATTCCCCATCCCTGTTACCACGTGGAAATCAACAAATATTTGTTGGCTAACCTGGTGGCAAGGGAAGACCTACACAGAGACTTGTTATTAGAAAATCAAGGGGCTCTTTGAAGTTCTACCTTCAACAGCTTAAATGAGATGTTCCACCCTCTGAGAACTGCTAAGAACTACACTTGCTAGAAAGTAGAAGAAGGTGCAGTTCTCACCCACCTGTGGAACTGAAGTACACTTTCATCCTAGCAGGTGGCAATGATCACAGGAAATCATGAATTTAAACACATGGACTGTTTGTATTGATAGGAGCAGAAATGTTGCCTTAACAGATAAATATGCTAATTTCTTGGACATTATTTGACCTCAGCTCTGAATTGCTGTGCCCTGTCTGGCCTTCTCTCCACTCAGGTATAGTGGCCAGTTTCTTATTGTCCAGATGTCCCTTCTACTCAGCTCCCTGTCCAATCCCTCCTTCCTCTTTGCTCTCTGTCCTCTCTGCTCCTCCCTGATGGCAGAGACTATGTGTTTTACTTTCCCAAATCCTTAACACCTAGTATATTGCCAAAAAAGGTTAGATTAGATCCTTGATACTTTTTAAAAATGGATGGTTCACTTTTTTAAGCTAGTGAGACCTTTTTTGATGAGAATTTAATGCTGACCTTGTAAAGGATTCTTTCCTTTGATTCAAATATTTATGTTAGCTTTCTAATAAAAAATGAGACCAAAGGAAAGAACTTTGAAATAATTGAATCTGATCACTGTTTTTCAAGGATCAAATAAAACATGGCCCTGCAAGTACTTTGTTAACAGTCGAGCACTTAATGAATGTAAGGCAGCATTCTGTTTATGAGTCATAATAAGTGTGCTGCATAATGAGGTGGATGAAATCACGCTGGAGGAAGAAAAGTGCACTTACAATCTCTCCATCTTTGCCTCCAAAATCTAAATACAGCATCCTGATTCCATCATCTGAAGACATTTTGAGCTTTTCATAAGGGGACTGTATGATTGTCTTGGGAAACACACCCTCCTGTGCTTCAGTGGTAATAGAAAATCCATTCTCATAATGTATGGTCAAACGGCACTCCTGGTTTTTGTAGGTGCACGCTGGGAGGATGAGAAAGAGATGGAAAGACAAGCGTGAGCAATGAAAGTCAATGCATTTCTCCAAGCTCCCAACACTTCAAGTCTCCTTAACCCCAGGATCCAGCTACGAATTTCTTATTAAAGTAAGGGGGGGGGGAGATGATTGTTTATGAAAATATTCTCCTTCAATTGATTTTGATATCATAATTTAACTAGTCTCATAGAACTTAGGGAAATAAATGGAAAGGAAGTCCTTTTGCTAGGATTTACAGAATGTTTTCTGGGCTCTAGCCTTTCTAACCCATAGGTCGATAGGTGTAATAATTGACTTACAATGGCCAGATGGGCCTTGTCATCAGCTAGAGTAGAGAAAGCTACCTCTGAATCAATATTATCATCATCATCCTCTCTCTCTCTCTTTCTCTCTCTCTCACATACACACACACACACACACACACACACACAACGTAATGTTTTCTGTCTAGTGAAAAAAGCTAGCATCCCCACATTATGGTACCCAAGTTAACAAAGCTAACATACATAAGAGATCAGGAGTGAGTAACTTTGAAAGAATCTAATTTAGGGGGCTAGCAGGTGGCATTGTGGTTAACACAACTGGATCCCACAGGGCCGACTGTGTGGTTTGAGTCCTGGACTCAGCAGCTTTAAAATAACATTGGGCATGTGCACACATGTGTCCAAAGTCCTGAGAGGAGAAAGGAGGAGAAGAGATCGCAGCATGACAAGCACCCCTGGGGGATACTTTCTCCCTTTCCTTTCTCTCTGTCTCTGTCTCTGGTGAGTACATGCAAACTATAGTAAAAAAAAAAAAAAGAAAATCTAGTTCTTATGTCTACCAAAGCTTGTTTTAGGAACTAAAAGAAGTATTCATTTAATTTCCCTGCTGATATTGGATTCTGGAAAAGCTGCTCTTACAGACCAATCTCAAACATGCATTTCCATGAAGCATGAATGGCTGTTCCTCCCTCTGCCAGTTTTGTTGTCCAGCAATCTCTGGGGTGGTGTCCTCGTGGTGCCCTCCGATCCAAAGGAACAAAATGAAACCACTTTAAGCAGATCAAGCACCAGCTTTTATCGGGAATTCTTGTGCTTGAGACAAGAATCCAGCTCTTTGAGTTTATAAGCTTGACAGGGCAATGGCCACCAGCATGCTAGCTCCTAGGTAGGAAAACTTGGGAATGTTTAAAACCTTTGATGAAAGAGTTCTGAAAATAGTTATTAAGTATCAGATTGGATACACCCTATTTAACAGACCCTAGCAAGTAAATTGGCTCAGGCCTTGATCTCCATCCAAGAGATCTTTAGAGAAACCAGGACATTTTCTTCACTGGTAGTAGAGGCTAAGAGAAGTGTGAGTAAGAGCATTATTGATTGTGAACTTCCTCTCTACCACCAGTAGTTCCATTCAGCTTTGTAAACTATATTGAATTGAACCTTATCACAAACTTCAAAGCAGGAACTTAGCCCAATATTAGATTAAAAAAGCAAAGCTCAGAGTGATGAACATGCTACAACCCAGGTTGCTCAGCTTTCAACATTCAAGTTCTTAATGAATTAAAAAAGTGTGGCACACATGCACTATAAAATACTACTCAGGAAAGGAATCAACGAGAAAATAGAGAGGCAAGACATTTATGGGACACAGAAATGGATGATTATCTGTTGATGATAATGTACGTGGTATCTTCAACTGGACTGGTGTGAAGTATATTCATGTTAGATAAATTCGTTTTATAAACTGTAGTGATGTATAGTGATTGAATGTGTTAAATAAAAAATTTAAAAAGAAAGTACAATGAGACATTTAAAAAAGAGAAATATTACTCCAGCCATTAAAAAAATCAATGAGACCCTGCCATTTGATAGAAAGTGAATGAAGATGGAAGATTTAATGTGAAATGAAGTGAGCCAGATGAAGAAAGAGAGGCACTGTATATCCCTGCTCAATACATAAAGCATGTCTGCAGGTTGTAGCAGACACTGAAATATTGGAAGGTATAAAATCAGGGAGAGAAACTATGGATACTAGAAACAGTGTGGGAGGAAGGTGGACAATCAGGGATGAGAGGGACGAAACCAAGGAAGAAAAACATATTTAATGGATATGAAAAATGGAAAATTATCTCTTGATGATACTTTGTATAGGAATATCTTTGACTAGACAAATAGGCAGCATATTCATGCCTGGAAAGTCCATTCTGTATTCTGTAAAGATGTACAATAATTAAATATTTTAAAAATATTTTTAAGTAAAAAATAAATAAAAATAAAAAACAGTGAGGATTTCATAAAAAATCAAGTGTTTTCTACTCTGTCCATGTTATCTTTCTCATGCATTGGCACTCAGGGCATGGAGAGATATGAGGAGGTACCTAGGCAAAGAGTTTCTTAGCTTGCCTCTCTCATGAAGCATGACAGTAGTGTGGTACACCTTTTTGTTTTGGCAGAAAAAGATAGAAATTGTCATTGTTCATCAGATATGGTGGTTTTTATTTAAACTTTTAGTTGAAACATACCACCCTTCCCCAGACTCAATACAGGCTTCTTTCCCCTTGCCACTAAGTTTGACTGATGTTTTCAAAGCTGTTCTCTTTAATATGTCTATAAGTTTTTCTGGGCAGAACCCTTGGGTCTTGCCCTCTGTCACTGCTTCAGTCCAAGGACAACCAAGGATGGGAGCATACAGGTAGTTACAGCTTCCCATTTTCACTTCTCCTTTTTGATAACCTTCATCTCTACCATGTGTAGAGTATGTGGTGAAATTGACTTTAAATGTGTTTTTTCCTCCATCTTTAAACTTTAAAGTTATGCTATAACTTAACTTTCAAGTTATGCCACTTTAATTCTGGTTGACCTTTAATGTTATTTGTAGCCTTTAAATAATGGAATCAGTTATCTGAAGATGTTTTCAATCTACACAAAATAAATTGAACACATTATCAAGTTAATTGACACTCTGATTAAAATGTAAACCCCTCTCCACAGGCATCTTTCCAATTTGTAACTGGGTACACCTTGATCATTTCCATAATATATTCTCCACCACCAGCTAGCTCAGTTCACAAAATTCTTAGTTATTCCCCTTTGGCTAATCTATCAACAGCTCCATTGTTTTCCTGTCAAAGCAGAGTTCAGCTTATTCAGAAAGAAGGATTTCAGAAAATTTGTAGAATGTAAACTAAACCAAATCCCTTTGGACATCTTCATTCTTTCTTAGAACACTCCTGAAATTGTTGTGTAGAGTCTGAACTTCTCCAGTATTACACATGTAACTATAAACTTTAGTATTAGGTGGGTTGGTGTTTGGATACCTTAGGTTCAAAACTCCAGGGTTTTTTTTGTTTTTTTTTTTTTTTTCCATACAGAATAGGCATCAAAAATAAAAGCTTCAGGGACACTCTTGAACATTTTCAACAATGATGGGAAACATTTGGGGGGCCTAATTAGTTGTTCCAAGATAATTACAAAAAGGCACTGATTATCTTGGATATGTTGCAGTAGAAACTCTACATAACATCTGCTTTTTCTTTCCTTTTCTTTTTTATTTTTAATTGCTAGGAGTGTGCACTTGCCAAAGAGAGGTGGGGGAGGAAATGGAGAGAAACACCCCACACTGGGGCATGGTCACTCCACAATCCTGTCTCCTCTTTTTCTCCATCCTGTCAGGATTTTGTGGACTCCCACACATATGTTTGGCCTGCTTTTTAAACTGCCGGGACTGGGATTAGGACTGCAGTTGGCTATATGGGATCTGGTCCTTTTAACCACTTGGCTATCGGGCCCATCCTGGAACATCTGCATGTTTACACAAGCAGAGGGAATTTGGAGAAGCCAGGTTCCATGTAAATCTATGTCCCCTCTGTTGAGTAGAGTGTTGAGGAAATTGCAAGCTGGTGTGGTACTATGCAGAGTGTGGTCTAAGGGCCAGCACCTAGTTAGATGTAGACTCAGGCCCCAGTCCAGAAAGTTCTAATTCTGAATCTCTGAAGGTGGAGAGTCAGCAAGCTGAGGCTTTTGAGGGTTATACTTAAAAACTTCATTGTTGTCTTTGTTGCTTTTAGTGCAGCTAAAGTCCACAAGCACCACTATTGAGATGTCTGTGGGAAATTCTGCTCCTCAGCAGAGCTGGACTTCATGCCATGATGCAAATGTTCTTGATTCGCACCATCCAACATAGCCATTAGGCACATGTGGCAATTGAACATGACTGAAGAACATACTAAGTTTTTAATTCATTTAAATTTTAATAGCCACATGACTAGAGACTAGTATATTGGACAGGTATGGAGACAATAATTACAAGAATAACTAGTAATAGTACTTACTGACAACCTAGGTGGTAGGTACTATTATTCTTATTACACCTCTGAGTATTATTCCTTGCTTTTTCATAGATGAAGAAAGTAAGTGATTCAGAAAGAAATAGAACTAGAATTTGCATCCAGGACTGTCTGACTTTAAAGCCCCACTATGACTATAACCTTTTATTGCTTCCTCAGAGATAGAAAGAACTGAAAAAAACTGGCAAGAAACAATGAAAGAAGAGGATGAACTGAGACTGCTAGAAGCAATGCTAAGAATCTCAAAGTAAGATTTTCTGGAAGACTGCTGCTGAAGAGACTCATTACTGTTCACAAGACGCTCTTGTTATGAGTGTCTAGATGAGAACTGGGAGAGGCTGCTCTTAGATCTCAGAACAATTTGTCTTAGATCTCAGGATCTAACCATACATCAGCTATGTATTGTGCTGACTATTCAAGTTATCCAAATTTTCTTAAATGAAGATAGGATAAGGCTTTTCACAATGAAAACTTCAGGCTACATTTTAGTAGGGCATACAGTGCCTTAATTTAAAATCATTTACCTTTGAAATTAAAAGAGAAATTTTTTTTTGTTTCATTTTGTTTGCCACTCTGGTGAGTGCTCTCACCTGAGAGAATCAGATAGAGACAGTCAGAGAGGAAGTGAAAAAAAAGTCACCTCCCAAGGTGGGGGATTGGCCATGCCGAAATCCCTTCTCTTCCATTCTCCTCTTGGGATTTTGGGCATGCATGCGCATGTGCTGGTGTGAGTTTCAAGTCACCAGATCTAAGACTCAAACTATGGTCGGCCATGTGGGAGTCCAGTGGCTTAACCACCCACCATACTACCTGCTGGCCCTTACCTTTGGAATATTAAGTAGCCCAAAAGACCAGTGATGGAAAAATACTTTGAGGCCAGGGTATAGGAGGCATCCCTTCTATAATTGTGTGTCATTGGTAGCCAGAAAAACTTACCAGTGGTGATTTCAGTAATGAGTTCAGCTGAATTGTGGCAACCCTGTACTATGTTCCTTGTCCAATGAGAGAGATCCCTGCTGGTCTCTGCCCTGAAGAGATGTGTTTCAATCCCTTGCCTGGTACCAGTTCGTGTTGCAAAGGATAGGTCCACACCAGTCTGAGGCGATCCCTTCCCTGGACCTGAATGGACCAACCTAAGAGAGAGGAGAGGAAAGGAAGGAGAGAAAGATCATCAAAATGAAAACTATTTAAGCCACCTGGCATATCAGATCATAAAAGTCACCAACTGGTGATTTCCCCCTTTTTTTCGATCTCTTCACCATGGTTTTCTGCCAATGCTTGGTGAGACCAGGCACCCAAGAATAGTGCACCTGCTTGAGTATGCAGAGAAATGAAATAATATGACTTTTAACTGGTGAAATTTCATCTACACCCCCACAGTCAAAAAGTAAGAAAGATGTGAGAGCGAGAAAAAACTTTCTTCAATACTGAGTACTCTTCTCTCCATCATTCCATTCCTGAGTATGTCATATGAGCATGAATTGGATAAGGCAATGTGGATCTCCTGCTACCTGGGTTAGACTTAGGCTCCTGTCTCTGTCTTCTGGAGCATCAGCTGCATCAGATGAACTTATAGATATGCAGTTTTTCATGTACACAGCCCCTAAGTGCAAGCCAGCAGCCTGGGACTCAGGGGAAGAAGCAGCAATCTGTGTATCTGAAAGCTCAAGGAAGAAATGGGAATACCGGAATTCTTGAGAAATGGTTGAAAATTGCACTTCAGTAGATATTTAAAAGATTTTCAAGAGAGGTTTTTATCACACAAGATTTTCACACTAACTTTTAAAACTTATTCTCAGCATAAAATGTGACTTCCAGAGTAAATACTTCCTGAAAGCCCAAACTTAAAATGTGAAGAATCAAAGCGCTTTGAGCGCCCGGTTCTGAGCAGGCACTGGCTCCTACTGCTCACTGGTCTCAAAACATGCGTCTCAGACACTCTGTCCTACTCCTCAATACAATACCTCAGCCTCCTTTTGGGAGAGACTCTCGTATCAATCATTTGCAGGGCAGTATAAGTATAATTTTCTAAATGTTACTTCTCTCCAGGGTATTCACATTTTCAGCCTTATCTTTTAATGCAGAAAGCAACATTTTACCATTTGCTAGAGAAATGCCAGGTGTCTATCCACATGGTATATGGGAGAATTATTTTCTTAGGCAAAGGACTTGTTACCTCTAGATTAAAAATTGCACAGAAGAAATCCAAAACATAGTTTCTCTTATAAACCTAAATACTGTCAAACAAAATTATCAGTGGAATAAAGCATAGGGCAGCCTGTTGAGTCTCCAGCAACAAGCCTGTTGTCTAACTCTGAGGAGATTTCTTTTGCTTAACAAGGTTGTAATTATGCAGGGAATAGTTTGCAGGGCCACCTCAAAGAAAAAGGTTAGTTGAAAAGCCTTTGGTTGTAAGATTCATTAACGATATGGAAGTTCTATGAATCTCATTGAGTAGAGCCTAGGGCAGTGTGAAAGGAAATGGCTGCTGGAAGTGGGTGCCCACACACTGGGACTGGATATGCTGAGACTGAGTCCAGTTCACTAAAGGAAAGGGAAGCATTTTGTAATGAGAAGTGAGCAAGAGTGACTGAGAAGCTGCTGCAGGATTCCAAGTCAAGTGTGGCTAAAAAACCCAGAAAGCATCATTTCTCTAAAGCCTATTATAGCTTTTAAAGAGACTGGGGGTCAGGTAAAAATGTACTAAGAAAAGGTGTCTATTGGAAGCAAAAATATATTTACTTAGTTACTCAGAAGTGTTTGACTGAGAAGCTGCTGCAGGATTCCAAGTCAAGTGTGGCTAAAAAACCCAGAAAGCATCATTTCTCTAAAGCCTATTATAGCTTTTAAAAGGACTGGGGGTCAGGTAAAAATGTACTAAGAAAAGGTGTCTATTGGAAGCAAAAATATACTGTATTTGAAGTGTTTTTTATATTCAAAGCTGTTTAAGTTTTAGTTGCTTTGAGAAATACATGCATGCTTCCTTTTGAAATCTTAAAATCAGTATTGGTTAGGCATAGCTGGCATACTGCATGTTAAACTGAAGAGACAGAGGTTTGAGGGGGCATAAAAGCTGCATTAGTATCCCACTTTGTCTGTCACGTTTTAAATTTTTAAAGACTCACTACCTTATCAGGTAGTATAAAGATGAAATAATATATAAACTGTCTCTAGCACAGAAACTTGCATACGATTCATTCGCAGTATTAGTTCTATTCCTTACCCTTAATCTTTAATTTTCTTATTTAAAAAATAAAATTTCTACCCTTATAAGATTAAAATATAATAAAATGCATAGTGCACTTAATTCAGAGTTAGTACATCACAGTCACTATTCAATAAAACTTGTTGTTGTTGTTGTTGTTTTGAATGCCTTCCTGGCTTAACTTGTTCTCATTTCCATCCCCTACATTTCTATCCAGAAGACTTCAACCTGTCATAATTTAGAGATGGCATAAATACATTGCAGTGGCAGAAACAAAATGAGAAAAAGATGTACCCCTCTCATGGAGCATGCTGGCTGTGTGTGTGTGTGAGTGTGTGTGTGTGTGTGTGTGTGTGTTTATTTCTTACCACTAGTTGTTTTTCTCCAGAGACTATAAAATTGAAGCAAATAATAACCAGAAAATACAATTTGCTGGAAAATCCGCATTTGGTAGCTTCAGGCATGAGACATAAAATTACTAACGGAATGTAACAAGGTGTGTGAAAGCCTAGGATCCGGCCACTGGTGCCATGTGCAGGCAGTCTCTGCTGGGAAGCCCACTATGGTACAGAAAGTAAAGGTGAAGAAAGAGCCTTCAGAACAAAGACTATTGGTGTTCTTTTTAATTCGTATCATTGCTCAGTTCTCCTTGATAGAATAAAAGGGGAAACAGAAAAATTGATTTTCCAACTAACCAAGTGTGAATTATCTTATGTTTATATTAAAGAATGAGTTGATTTGCCATCTGAGGAATGGCAGAAATGTTGAATTATGTGTTCTTTTAAATATGCCAATATTGGTTTAATGAAGCATACAGTACTGTATGTAAACTCTGAGATAAACTGTCTTTTCCACTACTTGGGATGTATACTGGTAACAAAAGGATATGTTTTCCAGATTAAAACCAAGTGAAATAAATCAGATATCTATCTTATGCATATGGGTGTATATCCTCTGGAGATAGCAGTATAGACCTTGAAGTTGTTTTATAAATACTGTATGTAAACATGGGGAAATATATATACATATATATATCTGTGGAAAAGTTCTGGACATTTAACTCAACCACATAAAAAAATTTTGGAAACAAATCCATTAAAGTGCTGAGTAATTTTATGGGTGATTTTATTTCTTGTTATTCATTTTTATTCCTAAAACTTCCCTTAAGAAAGATTTACTACACAGTTTAAAAATTGACTTTAAAAAGCCATGAAACTAAAATAAATGCGAATCTTTCCACTTTTAGAGTTGGAATTTCCATGGCACTGAAAAAAAATCGAATTCAGTGTCATACATGTTTTGTTAGTTGTTTAATGTTCACAGTAATTCAGTGTTGGAATGCTGGATATGCTTTTCTATGAATGTCTGAACTTGCTCATTTCTGGTTTATTCTAAACTGTTCATGTCTAGCTCCTCACCTTTAACACCTACAGGCTATGTCTATGGAATAGACCTTCTCAGAATGAAGTTTACTGATCCACATGGGATGAAAACTACATCAGTGGCCTTATTAATCCTGTACATTAACTAACTGGCCTCCAGCAAATGAGACAGAAAAGGTGCTGAGACCTATGAGTTGCAAGTTATAGAATCCTTTTGGATTCAGGGGTGCTATGAGGGGCTACAGAGGAATTTCCTGCTCTGTTAAAATCCTTTCTCCCTTCCTTCCAACTAAACACTGAAAATCACTAGTTAACTCATTCATTCAACTAAATCAATCTATAAAGGTTTCATTATTCACCACTGACTGACATAACCAATAAATATATGTAGAACACTGTTATGGACTGAATTGTGTTCCCCAAATTTCAGATGTTAGACCCCAGTTCTTTCTTTTTAACATTATTTTTAGAATTATTTTGTTTAACCCTATTCATTTTGTTATGTATTCTGATTTGACCAGAGATGGGAAGAGAAAGAGAGAGAGGAAGAGAGAGAGAGTGAGCGAGCAAGACACCAGGTCTGGGATTTGAATCATGGTTGGCCATGTGGGAGTCTAGTGCCCCCAACCACCATGCCACCTGCCAGCCCCTAGACTCCTAGCTCTTAATATAAACTGTATTTGTAAATAGGGCTTACCAAGAGGTAATAAAAGTTAAAGAAGTTTCTAAGAGTAAGGCCTTTATTCAATATAACTCGGTCCATATAAGTAGAGGAAAAGATACCTAAGACATGTCTTCTTCTCTGTGCTCACAGAGGAAAGGCCATGTGAGGACAAAGCCTGAAGGTAAACCAGAAAGACAGCTCTCACCAAAACCAACCATGGGGAATACCTTGGTCTTGAACTTCTGGCCTCTAGGAGTGTGAGAGCTAAATTTCTGTTGTTTAAGTTACTTAGTTTGTGGTATTTTGTCATGTCAACCCTACCATACTAATAAAAGAACCTACTCAACACAAACTCGAGACTAGGTACAGTTAAGGAAAACAGACATGGACCAATTTTTGACAAGACACAGTTTGACAGAAGAAATACTCTCTACCCTCTTAATTCACATAGCCCCTTCACTCCAGGTTTATCCCTAGTCTAGAAGACTCACTTCTGGAGTATGGAAGAGAGTTAGAACCAGCCTCTAGGAGATGATAGTAGAGACTTTGAGCCAGGATGGGGTGAGTAAGTAAGAATCATTCCTCCTTGTTGGAGCAATTTGATCATTACAAAGTTCTCCCTCCAAGTGTGAATTTGAACCTTCAGTAAAAGCAGTTCTATCATAAAAACAGAGAGCAGTAGATTCTGACATACACAAAGAACAATCCTAGCATTTATCAAAATATTGTTATTTCATCCCTCTTAAAGTATAAGAAATAATATATTTTCTTTGTTCTTTATATCATCTACACCCAATTGCTTTTGATTGTCAGCAGTAGCAAGTTGGTGAATAATACATCGAAATGTTGACATTCATCACTATACCACCTTGAGGAGACTGA